CCCCCCCAAGCCCCCAATGCAAAGGGACAGTGGGCGCCACCCGTGCGGCGTCGGCCTCGGCCCAGATTTCCCTTTTCCGCCAAGCCAGTGTCAGGCACAGTGGAGCGGAGGTTCCGCTTCGTCGGCGGACTTGTCGCGCACATCGCATCGCATCGTCAGCATAGCCACGCGACGACGTAGTGGCTGACTGGATGTGATGAGTAGAGGCGTGGAAATGTAGGAAGCAGTGAGACAGCGAGGGCAGGTTCCACCAGCTGGCGGTGCGTGCGTTCGTGTGTGTCTGTGCTCCGTGCTGTCTCCAAAGTCCGAACTCTCACAAGAGACGAGACGCAGACGAGAGTCACGAGACGCAGACGAGACGAGACGGAGACGAGACAAGAGGGTCAGTCAAGAGCAGAGGTGAGCAGAGGTGAGGACAGGCTGGATAGGAGTGCCTGGAGAGGAAAGGGGAGCAGGACAGAGGCTCGAGGAGTGGAGAGACACTAGAGAGACTGGAGGCCAGTGGAGGGAGCAACGAGAGAGAAAATCACCAGGCCTATCCTTGTTGGAATTGTGCTGGACGCGGCACAAATTCACGCGTCTTCTGGAACATTGTCCACCCAGCCTGCATCCGACATGTGCAAGCGAGAGCGCTATTCTCTTCTAGCTAAGAGCGCAAACTTGGGCCGCGGGTCGACGGTGGACATGCTACATACCTATTACCGATACCCCCATTTCCTCCTGCCCCAATGCCCATGGACGCCTTTTATTATTATGTATTCCATTACGTAGACACACCCCGTCATCTACATGGGACTACATATGTAAATGACATGTCGCATGCCCTCTCGCAGTATTGCACGCTTGCAGTACCTGTCCCAACAAACACGTCGGCTAGATGCGCCAGAACCAGACGGATGGAAAAGACGGGCAGGCAGACAGAAAGATAGACAGACCTCTTAACCCCCCCCCTCTCCTTCTTCCCTGCGACGCAGCTTGGAGCGCAATGGCGATCGTGCGTAGTAGGTACAGGTATTAGTCAATGGCTAGTGTTACGCGGCAGCTGGGCCTGGGACTCGACTGGGATATCATCGAGAGGAGAACGACCACTAACAAGGCCACCCTCACCTCTCCGAGAGCCCGATAGCCGTGGCATCTGTCCTGACAGCCACAGCCACACGAATAGAGAGAAATCAAATCAAAAATGCCTCCTCACACTCGATGTCGGGATCACTTCGGAAGCCCTTTCGGTGATGAGACTTGTTGCTCCAGCTGGCAGCAGTAGCTAGTAGGTAGGTATACGTAGCCCCGGTTGTCCCCGCGAGTCTCGTTTCAGTAGTGTCAAGTACCTCCTACGTATGTACTGGAGTACTCCACGCAACTGGGCCTCGTGTCTGCAATTTAATACTGTCCGAGACAAGGAAAGGGCGGGCGTGGAACGCGCTCGAATATCAAGCCCGTGGTGTCCATTGCTGGCGACGCACTCTTCCACTTGGCAGCATTCGCATTCGTCTAGAGCGGAATCCATCGCCTCGATCCGTGGTTCCATCTCCAATTGTCATCTGTGCAATGCCCGCGCGCTTGGATACGCCGCACAGTCGCCGCCAGACGGCGACCAAGTATTGAGCAGCAGCGCTTCTCGGGGCTGAGACTGCAGTACGACGTATGTCGACCCAAAGAGAGGATGCGTTGAGGTTGCACGAACAATGTGCTGCCCACGAGACTCGACTTGTCACTTCGGGTCGCGGAATGCGGATGCACGATATATTGGTTCAGCTCATGGGCTGGCGGTTTGATCGTCACTTGTTCGTCTCATGTCACTCCGGGTACTGAAGCCTGACCGCACTACTAATGTATTATACAGTGCCTATAATGCGGTTGGGGCGCAGAGCCTTTCTCGACCTCATCTCTTCATTCTGGGAACTGGTTCCTCATAGTGACGAAGTACCAGTTGGCATTCGTCACGCACTCACCCACTTCTCCGGTTAGCATGTCGTGCATAAAGAACATCTCCATCACCACATGTACCTACCTACCTGACCTACCTGACCTACCTGACCTACCACCCTAGCAGTGTGATCTATACGAGCACACCTCTGGTGGTCTGCACGTCAGGTGCCGAGACCTGAGTATTCTACTACTCCTCACACTACCTAGGTACAGTACTGCATCAGTCTGTCGCATCCGGCACCAGAGTGGTTTCACATACACATACAGTACAGTAGCATTCAGTGCCCATGCAAAAGCTTATTGGAGATGCAGCTCTCATCAAGATTTTTCTCTATCGAGCGCCCCTCTCCTGCTACACGTCTCGACTCTCATCGCCACATGCCTGCGGTACGGCGTCTTTCTACATGTAGTTTCTACCGTGGCATCTTGTATGTACCGCAGAAGGTGTGCCCACTTAGAGATACTCCACTTCTGCAGGAGCTCCTTGGTTGCAGTGGATAAGTACTAAATTGCTGTTCGCCGTGGACGGTATACCTGTCGGGGGACGCGCCTAGCAAGCAAATACTAGCAACGTACAGCATTTCCCTTTTTCAGACATGCCTTGCAGGCGGGCTTGCAGCGATGACTGCGACCTGCCTATCATGGTATCTACCGCTGCGCACTTGAGAGAAGACGAAGCAAAAGAAGGAGCAGAACAAGTGTACTGAGGTGCCGTTCGATTCTTTTGCGGCGTCGTGGACTTTCTGCACATTTTCTATCATGATCAATGGCCTACGGCGAGATCGCAGGTTCCAAAGTCAAATGGGATATATATGTCCGAGGCAATCTGGGAAGATGCAGCAGAGATGAGGAGGCAAGCCTACCTGGGCGCTGCTCGCTTAGTCCTTCTCATTACGCGAGAATACAATAGACCATCTCACTCCTACACCTAGACATGCCAACACCAACGACAGACAATGAATTGCAAAAATCTACTACTAGAGGATATTGACGACGAAGAACTCTTGTGCTATAGCAGACTGCACGTTGCAACCGACCGCCCCCTCCTCTCTACCTCATTATGTCAACGAGCCCGTCGCACAGCAAATGCCGACCGCCAAGCACGATCGGGATAAGGCTGGACGTGGGCCTGGCACATCTGAAAGTTAAGCAGATGATCGTTTCCATGCACCTCCCACAGCCCTCAAATTGACTCGGCTCCGTCCTCCACCATGGAAGTTCCAACAGTGCTGTGAAACCGCTCACGCACGCAATACATCTGTGATGAACCACGTTCCATCCTTGATCCAGGTCTCCAAGAGAACTACATACCTACATACCTGGCCTACTTCCAGATTCATCATGTTGGCACGACACACTTCCTGCGGGCAGAACGGTCCCCGGGGAACCCAATAATCATCTCGCAAGGCAACCTGACCCATCCATCTCCAGCCTTCACAGCTCACGGTCTTATGCCGGTCACCATGACTGAGGTGCTTATTCATCAGCAGACACTTCCGTCCCGAAATCATCGGCCTCCCGTCGCGACAGCGGCGACACCCGCCGGACCGACGGCACACTTCTGGCTCGAAGGTCAAAAGTCCGCGACAAACTTTTCGGCCCAAGGTACCCCCGTCCCGTACGATTCATGATACTTGCCCGAAAGCACCCTTCAATCGCAGTGATATCCACTCATCACACGCGAAAAGCGCCCGTGGTTGGATCTCCATCTGCAAGACACTGACGCAGGAAATGCCGGACAATACGGGACAGCCACACTCCCCCGACTCATGGGAATGACGACGGGAGGGAAATCTGCAGGTTCTGGGCACTCAATGCAAAACGGCCTAATAATGATGATGATAATGACGATGATGATGCCTTGGTGCCCTTCACATCATCGACAGTAGGAGGTATTCGACTCATGGCATCAAATTTTGACGTCAATTCGATGGCTGGATTGTCTGGCATGGATGTGCACATCGAAGTCCCAAGTGGTGTCCCACCACGACGACCATACTGGGCTTGTTGAGTGTCGTGGTGTTGACTGTCGTATAATGTATTGGCTAGTCATATGCTGATACTGTACCAATTGGTACACCGTACAGGTCAGAGCGTTAGCGACCTGTCGCCGTTCACGAACGATATAGGGTAGGGTTGTATAGGTACGTGTTCTTCTACTATTGCAGTTCGTTGTATATGTCCGGCACTCCTGCTTACCTGCCTCTGCAGACGCGGGAGTAAAGGTATAAGGTATAGTATAACTATAATCTGGTTTGTTATCTATTCTACAAACGTGTTATATTCTATAGCAGAGTAGCAACCATGTATAGTGAGGCTATACTAGAACGCTAACAGCTTAGGTATCATAGGAAGTACTATTCTCGTATTGTCCTTCGACTAGCGAGGAGAGGCTACAAACCTGAGGTGGGTAGCTGCTAGGGAGGGGAGGTAGAGCTGAGAGTCTTCGGCCCCAAAGACCCAAAAGACTGGGAATCAATTGATACGATAGGATTATGAACACAGACCCTCAAACCAAATTGTAAACAAAGCCAATAGAACCAAGCAGAGTACACCAAGCAGAGTACACCAAGCAGAGTACACCAAGCAGAGTACACCAAGCAGAGTACACCAAGCAGAGTACACCAAGCACGTCAAACAAGAACGGCAAGAGCAGGAACATAGAGGAAGCGAGCAGGATGAAAGGTCCGGTAGAAGGTGTACAATCCAGCTTGAGGGTCGGATGGCCAACAAAGACTACATCCAAATCTGCAACCGGAACAGCCAGCAACGGAGCCTACATTGCATCACAATCATACTGAACTGCACTCCAGGTTGCCTTCCAACTCCGGAGAACTATGACTATGGGAATATGGGTCATGTGACCTGGTGTGCCATGTTTTCTTTGTGCACTTACCTTACTTTACACTGTAGACTTTCTTCTTCAAAGCATCAAAGCCAGCTCACCGGATCCGGACGACAGCAAAGAGAACCTATAACATCATGTCGTTGTGTTCCCACCGTCCATCTCACATAGCGATTGCTCCATTATCATCATTCATCGGAAAGCAACTCACACAGCCAGCTCGATTATGCCTTTCGACAATAATACCCTACAGGGTCTCTCAGCGATATTGGGCTGCGACCCTATAGTGATATTGAGGATCTTTCAAAAGAGTGACAATCTCCTTCAAGCCGCGCGTAAGGCCGTCTTGCGCGTTATTGCAGACACGCCACCTGCTCCTCGCTCTGCTGCGCAGAGCCAGACCATGCGAGGTCTGGTGACGAGATACTTGCGATATTTTGGCGACAAAGACTGCGTTGCCCGAGATCTCAAATTATTTGAAAGACAAGGAATCCTCGAACCGTCGCCATGGTACAGCCGCAACTCGCAAGAGCGGTTCGACAGCCACTGTGGCGAGCCCACCATCATTATCGAGGGAGAACCGTGGCCAGCGTGGTTCACGCAAGAGCATTTCGATTGGCTTCAGCTCATGACAGGTATCCATGAAGGGGATTTCTACATCGAACTTAAAAACGACGAGAATATATGCAGAGCTGCCATCAAAGCCATCATGAGAGAACTTCCACCGGATGTCAGAGCCGAATTTGAGAGTGATGTTACTTCCCAAATTGGTCTCGCTGTGAACGTGCCTATGGAACGTATCAGCGTACCGACATCAAAGCCACTACCACCACTCCCGCAAGCGCCTCGGTTGTCGAGCAACGCTGCCATCCCCGTTCCAGCTGTCATTCAATCTGCTTCACCTGGCCTCCGTGATGAGTGGACCTCTGCCTCAGAGTGTATCCAGTTTGGCAACCAGTGGGAGCAGAATATCCTCGATGAAGCAGAGGACGAAGCCCAGGAGCCGTACAGACCTCTCCGAGTCGAATACTTGCCGGAAATGCGCGATGACAACTTCACCGTCCGCAACCCGAACGCTCCTCAGATCAAGCCCTTTGATTTTGAACGCCGGCACCTGGCCCAGAACCGATCTTTCATGGCGGATGATGATGATGACGAGACGCTGCAGGAACCTCCGAAAACGTCGAGTAGTAGAAAGACTGGAGGACTTTCCCGACAGAATGCCGTTAGGAAAGTGGGTTACCAGCCTCGTGGCAACAATAATTCTTCATCAACCCGATCTCGCATCAACAACGGTCCGCGGAGAGGAAAGTACCGCGTGGTCAAGGCAGTTTCGCCTCGGCAGAAGCTTCCAGCGTGGGCCTGGGGTCCACCACAGACTCTGCGGAGTACGAGATTCTAGAGATTTCTTTTCGCGGTTTGGGGTGTATAGGTATGTTGTTGTTGGCTGTTTCGGGTGTACGTACGTACGGTATAATTTAGACATGTCTTTATACTGCTCTCGCTCTTTGTGTTAGTGGCCTTCCCTTCCCATGCCTTCCCCTGTTATCTTCGGTAGCAGAGACGGAAAGATTCTGTTCGGCATAATCTTCGACAAGTATCAACAATTGCCAGGATGCTGAGTATGACAGTTAGATGATCGATGCAGTGCAGTAGCCTCGGAGCTACGTATGGCTCTGATCGAGGCTGTAGGTCGGTATAGTCCGTCTGAGCCCCTTTGTTTGCATTCTTCCGGACATCAAGTGAGAGGCGGCGAGGGCGACGGCGAGTATGACCTGGGAGGAAGTTGAGCGTTTCATTGCCATCTCGCAGCAGAAATGCCTGTGCTTGTAGGTATCAGCCCGTTGCAATACGAGACCACGCTGCGACCATGTCCACCTATAAAATAATAAGGCTGTTCAGGTCCATGTGCATAATTGAATCCATGTCGTATGATGGGATGGTATGGCGAGGTTTGGGTAAGGGAGGTGGTAGGTAAGGTATGTGGGATGTTTGAGCCTCGGCTCGGTAGGGAAAGGTCCGGTCCTGGCTTAGCGTCGCTGCCGGGTCCATGCTATGTCTACGTTATGCACTTGCACTGGCTGACAGTATGGAGTCCAAAGGTCGTGTTGTACAGCATCCACGCTCTGGTATACAATCATACATCACGGGGGACGAAGGGAAGAGAACATGCCTAGTTTCACCAACTCCGACGTGTCCTACGCCAAACACACGCTCGACTATCCCATCTATGCCGCCGAATTCGACCCCTACACCCGCGGATTCCTGATTGTTGCTGGCGGCGGCGGAGAGGGACGCAGCGGAGTGCCCAATCGCATCTCCCTCCTCGACGTCAACAACCGCGCTGTCGTCGAACCCGTCGCCGAGCTCGATCTGTCGCGCGATGAGGATTCGATCCAGTCGCTAGCCAACCTGGCTACCAAAGATGGCCTGATCACGCTGGCCGGCATCAACTCGTCCCAGGCGGCGCAGAACGACAACAAGAATGAGCACTTCCGCGCCTTTGACATTCGTTATCCGCCGCGTAAGAAGCAGAAGACAGCCGAGAGCAGCGGCGAGAAGGGCGAAATCAAGCTGTTGGGCAAGAGATCGCTATTCAAGCCCTCGTCAGCACCGAAGAAGGAGACATACCAACGACTGCTACGCCTGTCTCCCGTGGGCAAGAGGGACACTCCGAGCAAGCGAATCGGTGCCATTGCCTCGGGCTTTGCACAGCAGTCTGAGGTCATTGTATTTGATGCCACTGCAGCCATACCGGACGACCAGCACATCATCACGCGGATAGAGCTACCGGAGAAGCAGGAAGCGGCAGATCTGGACATTGCACGAATCGGCGACGATGATCTCTTCAGTCTGGCATACTGCGACGAGCATAACATCTACGAGCAGACGTACAAGTACGACTTTGCCAGCAAGAAGGTAGACAAGAGGCCGAATGGACCCCGGCGAACGTTTCAGATGGCTGGAGGCGACAACTACCAAGCCAAAGGAAGCCGCCCCAAATTCAAGGCTCTACGCTTCCTCAATTCGGAAAACCTCATTGCTCTCGTCAATAAGCCAAATAAGAGTGGAGCTGAGCTGCGGCTGTATCACCTCTATCCGACGGGTCCTGCTCTAGTCATGCAGACGGAGACCTTGCCAAGCCACATCAAGCAGGCCACCAGTCTCGATGTTGGCCCTCTAGACACTGATACGAACGGCAACCAGCAGTTCATGCTTGCTGTTTCTGGCCAGGACAGGAGTATTGAAGTACTGACTGTGAACTACCAGGCAGTCACCGACACCTTCTCGTCCATTCGTTGCTTCATGACGCTCCGAAATGTTCATGCACAGGGCATTACAAAGATTTGCTGGCAGCCATTCCACTCTCCCGTGCGGACAGCCGATCCGGGACCACAGTACGCCCGACTCGCTTCGGTCAGCTTCGGCAACACACTCGTGATCGAGACATTTCCATTACAACTGCTCGAGAAAAGCAACAAAAACTCCAGATACGTGCTCAGTCATCCTACTGATGAACTCTTCTGGACCTGGCTCAAATACGGTCTATTCATCTTTATCGGCCTCGTCGTAGCTATTCTCCTCCAATCCTTTCTGTCCGCCGAATCTTCCTTGAACATTGTACCCAACAGGGTCTCCACCGGCGGTACACATCCATCGGCCGACATCACCACTCCCAGTATTGCTGTCCCTTCACCAGTGACCAATCTGAAAGATGCACTTCTAGCACAAGCCGCTTCACCGGAAGACGCCAGCCCGGGTGTGGTTATTGTTCATTCTCCTTCTGACGACCACGAAGATGTCGGCTTTGCCGTGCATCCCGACAAGGAGGCTTACTTGGCTCACGAGAGTACTGATGCAAAGCATTGGGATGACCTCGCTACGGAGCAGAAAGAGTTATGGAAGCGGAAGTTAAAGAAGGCTGGGCAGTGGGTCGAAGGTCAAGGAGAAGCTGTGTTTAAGGGTGTCCTCTGGAGTACAGTACCGCAGTTTCTGATGGGACAAGCAGGGGAAGTTTTGAGGGAATTGTAGGAACATTGAACCTGAAAATTTGACCTGGGTCTTATTGTTAGCAACGAGAGGGCGCCGTTTTCTTACAGACCTAGAGTCCTGATAGAAGCCATCGCAGTGTTTACAGCTTCACCTGTATGTACCTGATCAGAAGCATGTTGAGTGTTTGAACTTCGAGACAGAGAGAGAGAGAAGAGAGAGAGAGAGAGAGAGAGAGCCAATGTATCAATTTTGGTGCTCGTCCTGATTAATGGCTCTTGCTCCACGCCTTGTACATGGAATCGAAAATGGCAATATCCTGCATGGCATCCTCCACCGTAGTCTTGATGGGCTTGCCTTCGGCAAAAGCAGCGTAGACCTCCTGTAGCTCGGTAGTGTATGCATCCTGATACGAGCCCAATATTTCTCGCGTCTGAAACTCTCCTGCCTCATTGACCTCTTCCACGACAACTTTGATGGGCAGTCCCTTGATATATGGCGAATCATACTGGATGTGCACCCGCTTCTTCTCTCCATACACGGCCAAGTGGGCGTCAAAGCGCGGAACCGCATCGATGCCCGATTCATAGGTGACGGAAAAGGGCTCGCCGGCGGAGTCGGAGGAAGAAGAGGAGGAGGAGGAGGAGGAGGAGGAAGACTTGTTTTTGTAATTAAAAATCGCCGAGTAAAACGGTTCGTTCACAGAAACACCCTCCACAGACTCGGGACTCCCCAACGTCTCACGCAGCAGAGAAATATCATGTGATCCCAAACTGCCCAGAAAACGACAATATTGCTCATGCTGTCGAGTCAGATGAAGAGGTCCTTCCACGTCTGGAAAAGCTTCTTGAAACAGTCTTTCTAATCGCATCTGACGTTCTCGACCCGCTGTGCTGGGAATATCTGGGCTATCTTTGACTTGAAAAGTGCCCGACTCATTGACGAATTTGGAATTTGGTCCGCTGAAATCTCTCACGCGGGCATAACAAATTCGAGGAATGGAGGCGATTTCACGTTTGAACGTTTGCGTGTATGATGGTGCATATCTTCGCATATATCCCACGAATACCCTCGCGCCGTTGGGGGCGTGTTGTTCGGCGGTGAGGATGCGTTGAGCGGATGGAAGGGAGAGAGTTAGAGGTTTTTCTACCATGACATTTTTGCCGGCTTGGAGAGATAGGATGGTGTATTCTTCGTGGAATTCGTCCGAGGTGAGGATGAAGATTATGTCGACGTTGGGGTTGGTGAAGACATCGTGGGCATTTGTGGTGAATTTTGCGATGTGGAATTTTTCGGAGCAGTGTTTTGCATTCTGTTGATTGTTGTGGTTAGCCCTTTCTTTGCTTAAACGGGTTGGAGAGGAGGAGGAGGAGGAGGAGGTGTGCAAGATGTACTTGTTCCGATATGTCACAAATGATGGTAGTGGTGAAGAGGTAGCTGAGTAAGGCCAACACAGGCAAGTGAATCACCTGGGCTACTTCTCCTGCACCGATGATGCCCACTCGAAGCCTTTTGTCTGGTATGCTCATACTGTACTTGCTAGATCGGACTTTGGTTCATCAGTCGCTCTCGATATCGGAATCAATTGGTTGAATATGAGGTTGTTGTAGTGGAGTTCATAGGTAGGTATAGATGTTGAGACTGACGCGGGGCTAGCTTTCGGCAGTATTATTCTCCGGTGCTTTATTTTGAATATTATTTATGCTACCTCCTAGAAAATACATCTTCGTCCTTCTCTCTTAGCAACCTGACGGGCTCCTTTGGTACAGTCACGTCGTGTCCGTGTATAACGACAATTACTACTCGTCAGTCATTGTCCATCTCTCGCCGACCGCTTGTGCTACCACAACCGCAGGCTGCCCAACCAATTTGGATATCAAGTCTGATGTCCCAGGAGGCACAATCTCCTCTGCCTCTAGCGAAATAACGGCACTCAATATCCAGTCCTGACATTTCTGTACACCATCCCTTGGTGCTGGCTCTCTGCTGATGATCTCGACGGCTTGCCTCATATGCTCTCGTGTCAAGTAGCCGACCTCGAATGAGCCTTCAGACCCTGGACTTCGAAATTCAACATCCTTTCGGCTATCAAATTGATAGATCAACCTCTCCAAGTCCAGCAGAGCGACATGCATGACATCTCCTCTCCCTACACCGCGCTTGTGAATTGCGAAAGCCCAGTGTGATCGGTGGTTGGGATCCGTCCCGGGTCCGTCGACAGCGATAGAGAGGACATAGGCCATTTCGACTACAAGCGATCAGCTTCAGATCGGGTTTGTCGACGAAAGATAGTTACCTTGTAGTCGTGCTACTTTCTGTCGTGGTTGGATAGATTTCGTGTTGTATACTGGAAGAACGAGCGCTTCACAAGAGGGGCTCGCGTTCTAACCCTCAATAATATATTCCACGCAGAAGGCTGAGACGAGTGCATGTCTCCGGAGTGCACATTATCCAATTATTCTTTGCCAAGAAGCCTACATGTACCTATAGTACCTTACTGTGCCGCAACGGCGCAACTCGCATTCTACCCTGTTCACTGATACACGACAAATGAATCTGTGGACATCGACCCCATCTCAATCTCTTGGAAGCAGTTCCAAGCGCCCGAACACAATGAACATCTTCCTGTTGCAGATCCGCGGGAATGGCAATTCAGTTGCATCCTAGATACAGTGAATTTTCACTTCGACCAACTTCGAGATGCTGTTGTTGATATCGCCTTGGAAGGTGATTACGGCGTCTAGGTCGCGATGCGCTTTGCGCGCCCTGCGGCCAACAATTCGTATATCCAAGACGCCCAGTCGCGCATACTGCTCGCAGGCACCGTTGGCCGAACAAGACTGCGCCAAAGATGAAGAATATTTTCGCTTCACATCCGGCCGATGGCTGTGGGATGAGGCGCCGCGAATGCAAGAGCGCTATAGGAAATTCGACGTGTTGGCGCTGAAGACGCTCGCTGCGGACAGCGTGGGTGCGCAGCGATGCGTGTCGATGCGCAAGATGGCGGAGGGCGGCTCTAACAGGATCTTTCGTCTGACTATGGACAACCAGAAGACAGTCATCGCGCGGATCCCGTACCCGAATCACGGTTCGCTGCTCCACGAGGTTGCGTCTGAGGTTGCTACGATGGACTTTGTAAGTTCGTCCCCGACTCACGATATGACGGCTGAAGCTGAGTTACAGACAGGCAGCGAATGTTCTGAAAATTCCCGTGCCTCGAGTGCTGGCATGGGATGCACAGTCGGACAACGCTGTCGGCACAGAATATATCTTGATGGAAGAAGCTTCTGGTACTCCGCTCCGCAAGACGTGGGAATCATTGGATCTGAGACCCAAGTCTAACATCGTAGATGAGCTGGTGTCGATTTCGAAGAAATTGCTATCAGTATCGTTTACACGGCAAGTGTTCTTCATCCACTGCACGAAAGTCGCCATCTCATCTGCTAACGGTCCGGGCAGGTATGGAAGTCTCTACTTCTCAGACTCATCTATCCCAGGCTGTGAAGCTGCTGGTATTAGTGGCGATCTGACCTGTCAAGAGTTGCAAGATGCGAATGATCGATACGTGATTGGACCCGTTACTGAGAGCAGCTTTTGGCACGCGGAGCGAAGAGAGATCGATGCCGTTCGGGGTCCTTGTCAGCCTACCTAATCACAATCCGGAGATGGAACATATACTGATATCAGGATAGGGTCCACTCCTGCAGACTATGTCAAAGCCATCGCGACCAGAGAGATTCGGTGGCTGAGCGACTTCGCAGACCCCAAGACACGACGTCAGGTCTATGGATTCGGGCCAAACCCTGCACCAAGCGACCTCATCGCGCTACAGCAGAAGCTTGTAGCAATCGCGGATGGTCTTCTGCCAACCGACGACCGACCGCTCGTGAGACCTACGATATGGCATTGGGATCTGCACGCCCCAAACATCTTCGTCGAGGGAAACAAGATTACGGCCATTATCGACTGGCAAGACTGCTGGGTAGGACCACTCCTCCTGCACAACTTGCGGCCGCGCATTCTGGCCTTCCAAGGCGAATCCATGCTCAGGCTTCCTCCTGATTATCCAAGTATGACCGACAAAGAAGAGAAAGACAGGCTATGTGCGCAGGTAGAGAAGTCTCTCCTCCTCTGGAGTTTCGAGACACCGCTGAAAAGTCATAACCCAGCACTCAAACAAATCTGGACCCTCCCGCAGCGACAGATGATCCGAGATGCTATTGCCTTCGCCGTCAACACTTGGGAAAGTGGACCGGTGGCCTTCCGCGAAGTTCTCATCCGAATTCAACGGTATGTGTAACAGCTGCGCAGATACCTATCGAGGGCATTTCCATGCTGACAAGACACAATCTTAGCAACTGGCATCTATTCCGTCAAGACGAGGAATGCCCATTCAAATTCAGCCAGGACGAGCTCGCCGCCCACCGAGAGGAAGGAGAAGGGTTCAACGAGACAGCAGATTTTTGGGAATCCATCTCGGACCTAGTGACGCGTGAGGGCTATGTCGCGAACGAAGACTACGAGCAAGCGCTCGAGATGTTTCGCCAGCTCCGCGAACAAGGCCTCGAGGTCTTGAGCGACGATGAGAAAGATCGATTCGAGCGTGCGACGAGGTGGGCTACAAGATGAGACTTCTGTCGTATCAAAGTACACCTCTTCGGTCGCGAGTTTTTCGTACCTAGCTACTACAATTTGGACCGGAGAAGTCTAGTTTAAAAGTCCGGAGCCTAGCGAGAACTATTTCTATCTAGACGAACGATCTCTAGCGACCTTCTAGCAATATAGATAGAGTAGGCTATAGTAAGAATCGAGGTCTAGCGATCCTCTAGCGATTTATTATAAGGAATATATCTAATTTAATTTAAATAAACGTTAGACGCTCTATTCCGGAACTATTCTAGTAGACCTACTCTATCTAGAAACTAATATATCCTATAGGACTACCTGTTAGTAGTATAGTATCGGCTAATATATATATACGTATATATATACGTAGGTCTTTCGTCTCTTCTCTCTATCTCTTCTAAGTTATAAGGACTATACTATACTTATTTAGAGAATATACTATAAAGAGACGTTTCGTAAGTAGATAGAGGTAAGCCGCGCCGCCGGTCGCTTATAGAATAGCCGGATCTATAATATTATAGATAAGGAGCTTAGATCTAAACTAAGAAAGAAGATAGGTCTAGATTAGTAGCTAACTCCGGTCTAGCAATATAGTATCTATATTACTAACCCCTATATTCCTTATAGTATACTACCTTCGTAGGGCGTACGATATACGATCCTCTATTAGTTTATAGCCGTTACTAATATAGAAACCGGAGAAATAGAGAATCCGAAAATAGAGACCCTTTAGTAGATTATAGAGGTTATAGGTATACCGGATACTAACTACTCTACTATCTAGTCTATTAGGCTACTCTAATATATATAGCCTAATCCTATATCGCTTTCCTACTATAGTCTAGTTAGATAGTCTTAGCCTAATCTTAGATACTCTTATTAGTTATAAATCTTAGGCCGATATAGAAGTTATCTATAAGTTAAACTATATTGCTTATATAGATCTTCCTAAGTAGAAGGTATATAAGCTCGAATAGTAGTATCGTACCCTTAATAGATATAAGGTAACTTTCGACTATATTCGCTACTCTAAAATAATACTCTTTAGGAACGCGAGTTACTTCTACTATAAGGGCGACTTTAAGTCTCGACTATAGCCTAATTTTTCTACTCTCGACTCTAAGACACAATAGATAAGACTATCTATTACTACTAGCTATATTGTCTGTTCCTTTATAAGAGAGTTCTCTTTCTTATATATCTTGTACGCTATCTTCGCGAGATGCTTATTCTCCTTTATTGTCTTTAAAGGCAAAAAGCTATTAGCTATATAGTCGTAGGTAGGGGGAATAAGCTAAGAAGGGCCTAGCAATCGCTCTCTATAGTAGGCTTAAGCTTTAGTATCCTACAATAGGATATTCCGGCAAAGGGCTCGCTTAATAGGCGAGAAGATCTTATATAGTAATAGCATTCGGACTTCTTTAATACAAATCTAAAATTATAATTAGTTTCTATAGTCGGCAAATATAGTCGGCAGATATTTACCTTTATTATCTCGCTACTAACGATTTTCAAGACCTCTTTTATACCCTTCTTATTTAGTATATCTAGGTTCTTAAGGATAACAATCTTGTCCTAGAAGTAGTAAATAGAAGAGCGCTATTAATTATAGGCTATCGAAAAAGTAGAAGAGGATGCCTAGATAGCAAAGGTACTAATAGACTTAGCCCTCGCTTCCTCTATCTATAGAGTCGAGAATAGATTAAGAACTAATTTAGAGGGAAGATAATAATTGCTAAGGCCGCTAACCCCTTTGTCGTACTCCTCGCTAACAGATAGATACTCCTATTCCTACTTAATCTAGTCTTCTTTCTAGAATATCAATCGTTCCTTAGAGTCGATATCGCTAAGTTCGAGAAACTAGTCGGCTTTATTAATCTTTACTTACTCGTCGGGAGGAAGTATTGTACTCTTTCTAGTCTACTTCTTTATACTAAATTAGAAGTTAGTACTCAAATCTGCCGACTATATCCGCCGACTATATCCGCCTACTATACTTACGCTTTTTGATTATACTCCTTTATATATATCTTTCTCTAGCCCTCGATAAGTTCCTATTGCTTATCTTTAGCGAGGCTTTTAAAGCTTGTATAGTCCTTAATTTGTACCTTTTTGAATTGCGTAAAGGATTCGTTACGCACTTTGCGGTATCGATCCTATACCCTCTTTTCTTCGTCTATAGCGGCGGTACGCTCTTAGTTACGTAGAGTATTTAGCTTAAGAGAGTACTCCTCGAGTAACTTCGAGGCTACGCCGAGCTTTGCGCGCTTATTTGCTAGTGCCTCTAGAGTATTACTCTTGCGTTTCGGTATAGTAATAGTTTCTAATATTAGTATAGTAGTTAAAGAAGAACTCGGTCTAATTACGAAGGTAGGTATCGATAGCGCTAGTAAAGGTACGGAGGTATAGGTATTATAGAGGTATTATAGTAAGGTAGTAAAGTAAAAGAGAGAAAGTAAATTTACCCTACTAGGGCAATTTAAGGTTTAGGTAGCAGCCGAATCCCGGTATTAGTTACGCTAGGCAACGATACTACCTATCCTTCCGGACTAATAATACTCTACCGTACTACTATACTGCCGACGTTATTCTAGATAACAAGTATAAGAACTATACGTAAACGGTAAGTCGCCCTCTCTAGACGTTATTAATTTCGAATATAAGTTATTGTCCGTTCGTTTGCTACTACTAGGACAACTGCTAGTAGGGGCTATATATTGTATAGATATCTATATTAAAACGATATTTATATTAAGTATATATATCTAGGACCTATATATAAGAACGCGTCTAAATTATATATACGACCTAGAGAAAACAATAGGTCCTATAGCTATAGAAGAACGTATTCGGCAGACGTAGTCGGCGTATAAGGCGTATATCCTACTAGTAGCCTTAGGATATATATAGAATCCCTATATAGATTACTAATTACCTTCCTACGAGATCCGATATACTCTAGAGATAAGCGCCTTAGCAAATTCCGGGTTTTCCTTATACCCTCTATATTTTCCTTCCCTCTTTTCTTCTCTATCGTTAACTTTGTTAATCTACCGAGATATACTCAAAGCTCTCAAAATACCTAATATAGATACTGTTTCCCTCTCTACCCTATCTCCGTTTAGACGCTCTCTCTTTAATATAACGTTAAACTTTCGGAGCGGATTGATATAATATCAAACTTTCGGAGCGGAGATACCTCGGACCGCTACGCTTTTCAAAGAGCATCTAAGGACAACCTATATATAGACAGCTAGTATTACCGTAAAGCCCTCTGTCCTACTACCGTCCTCGAGTAGACGATCGGATAGGCCCGGCTTACGGTAGGTCGCGGCGTAGCTCTACGGTAAAAGGGGTAGGATAGGTAGAGGTCCGGAAGGACGCGGAGATGCCTGTAGGTAGTAGGAACGGTAATATTAGAAGACAAAGCGTACTATAGGGTAACGACATCAATTATAGTAGAGTAGGTATCCGTATGTCTACGTCCTAATTATATCCGTCCTCTCCTCCGTCCTAAAAAGAAGAAAACTACCCTATATAGCTACCCGCCGGGAGTAGTACGGCCCTCCTAGGCCGTCCGGCTCTCGGCTCTACCCTAACGCCCTACGTAAAAGAAACACGCCTAGCCGCTTAATACTAGTTACTTCGTTATCTTTTTTTCTATTATTCTAAGACGTTTATCAACTACATCCTATATATAGAAACCCGCGAAAGTAATCCTAGAAAATACTCTTAGTAATACGATACTACTATCCTCGGAACCTTAATCTGAAAACTACGTTCTAGATTTGTAAATAATACTGATTTTAAGTATAAGTAACTATCGATAACCTATATTAAACTCGACAACGACTATAGATATAGCTATCTAGCCTTTACAAAAGTCGCTTAGAATTAGCCTAGCGAACTCCTCTAAGTGTCGCTATAACTATACGACTAAGTACTAAATTAGTGTCGTTATCGGGCGAGCCGATAAGCTATATTAAACTCGATAACGACTATAGATATAGCTCTCTAGCTATTACAAAAGTCGCTTAGAATTGCCCTAGCGAGCTCCTCTAAGTATCGCTATAACCGTACGACTAAGTACTAAATTAGTATCGTTATCGGGCGAGTAGTCGGTTAAGCTATTATTCTAAGATATAATAACGACTACCGATACAGCTCTCTAGCCTTTACAAAAGTCGCTTAGAATTATCCTAGTAAGCTCCTCTAAGTATCGCTATAACCGTACGACGAAGTACTAAATTAGTATTGTTATTAGGCGAGCAGTCGGTCGAGCTATTGTTTTAAGATATAATAGCTAGACGAGCAGTTACTCCGAGATTGTTTTAAGACGCGATAGCTAGACGAGTAGTTATTCCGAGGATTATTCTAAGATACGAGCAGTTATTCCGATAATTGTTCTAAGACGCGACCGTTATTCCGAAGATTGTTCTAAGACGCGACCGTTATTGCGAGATTCTTCTAAGACGCGATAGCTAGGCAAGTAGGCATTCTAAGGATTGTTCTAAGACGCGACAGCTAGGCGAGTAGTTATTTAGAGGATTGTTCTAAGACGCGATAGGCGTATAGGCCTATAGTCGTTCCGAGGAATTCTTCTAAGACGCAATAGCTAGGCGTATAGTCATTCCGATAATTATTCTAAGACGCGACAAACAGGCGAGTAGTTATTCTAAGGAATTCTTCTAAAACGCGATAGTTATTCTAAGGAATTGTTCTAAGACGCGATACGCCTATAGTCGTTCCGAGGAATATTATAAGGCGCGATAGCTAGGCGATTAGTTATTCCGAGGAATTCTTCTAAGACGTAACAGTTATCTCGAGGAATTGTTCTAAGACGCGATACGCCTATAGTCGTTCCGAGGAATATTGTAAGACGCGATAGCTAGGCGAGTAGTTATTCCGATAATTGTTCTAAGACGCGATAGCTAGATAAGTAGGTAGTAGTTATTCCGAGGATTGTTCTAAGACGCGATAGCTAGACGAGCAGTTATTCCGAGATTCTTCTAAGATACGACAAACGGACGAGTAGTTATTCCGAGGAATTGTTCTAAGACGCGATAGGCCTATAGTTATTCCGATAATTGTTCTAAGATACAAGAGCTAGGTAAGTAGCTATTCCGAGATTCTTCTAAGACGCGATAGCTAGGCGTCTTACTCGGAATTCTTCTAAGACGTAACAGCTAGGCGAGT